CTCGCTTGGAGATCCGCGGTGGTGGCAGCCTGGCTGCGCCCAGCGGGCTGCGCACCCCAGGGCTCCAGTACCCCAGAGAAACGTGCGGCTCACAGGGGTCAAGGCAGCCAGCGGATTTCAAGGCACAATCACATTAGAGTGCTGTATCCCCAGATTAATACTGATATCCTTAAGAATCCGCACCTTTCCTGTCCCGGAGGAGAGGAGTAAAGCTTAATTACAAACAAATCGAGAGGCTTCGTGCTTGTGAGAAACCCTTCACTTTGCTCAAGTCTTGGACACAAAAGTCAGTGCAGTACTTCACTGCATACCTGCATTGGCAATGCACAGTGCCACCGTATTAGTTTATTTCAGACCTCCTTAGCGTGTGCTCCTTGCAACATAGCTGCTGCTGTGTGTTGTTCTTGCCCTGGTCACTGCGCTTGCGGGTTACTCATATCCTTAATAGAACAGTCATAATAATTAGTTGTAGAAAAACCTGTTGTCAACAGGTATGCTTCTCTGTCAGCATAGAACTATCTATTTTAAGTGTTTTGAATGCTCATAAATATCCAAGAGAGACTTTCCTTACATTTTGGGGGTGTTACCCTTATTTTGAGCAATCTTAAGTATGAAAAAGGAGCCTGAGGCAACATCTCAGTCATGGATTAGGATAAATAGATGCAGAGTTTGATCTTAATTTTTAGGAGAGAGGTTACTAAACCTAAGTGGGTTGTTTCCTCCTCCTCACAGACTTGATTAATAGTAGATATAAGTATTATGACTTAAATCCATTTTTGTGTTTATGGTTTTATGATCTAGTTTTCACCTCTTCCTGCGGAGGGAACTACTGTCTCTCCCTTGCGGATGTATGAAAAAGCCACATACATTATTTGATGGGTTTGCTGTGCCTCTGTTTGGCCTTTGCATTGATTAGAAATGTGACAGGAAATGGAAGGCTTGGTAAAGCTGAGCACAGCCTGGTCAACACAGACTGGGCCAGCAACAGTTTCTCCTGCTAAATTGGATAAGGAATGCCTCATCAAATAAAAGCGCAGTTCAGCTGCTACTCCTCTAGACAAAACAGATACAGATACATTACAGACTGCACTTCACAGTAGTTGGTCTTTCTCTGTGCATTTTGCTGCTGTGTATTAACTACTCCTGACCTGTTTTGTGCAATTTTGCTGCAGGCAGTTACGAGACCCATTCAGTTAGGAATAGGGTACATGCAAAAAACTTAGGTTCAAAAATGGACACTTACATTTTGATTGAAAGGCACAAACTTTGATTCTGATATCAGAAAGTCTTCCTACTACCTGCTCAATTCTGATAGAGCGAAAAAAAGCTCTTTCAGTTGAGGTAGCAAATGGTGAAGGATAAAGGGTGACAGGCCAATAAAGTTTTTGTTATGTAGAAGTCAATAGTCAATAAAGAGGAACATAATTTGACTTCAAAACAATAATTGGAACATAATATCTGATGGCTTTATGATGAAAACATGAAACCAATAGTGCATAAAAATAATTGTGAAAAAATTCTGGAATGTCAAAGGAGAAGTAAGAGTAGTTAGGTGTGAGTTTCAGTAGAATCTTACAAGCAAGGAAGCGTAAACGCAGTGGAAGAAGAAACCCATGCCCGATTGCAAAAGTGGGCCAGCCTCCTGGTTGAGGAGGGTGATGATTCTAGTGCTTGGTCCTTGTCCTTGAAGTGTTTCTTGTCTCATACAGACAGCTTGTTTCCTGAAACGTTTTTCTTGCATTGATTTTGCAAAGATTACTAGCAGCAAGAAGGCAGCAAATCGCAGTCTTTAAGCAGTGGCTAACAGCTGGAATGAGGCGAGGAGAAGGGAGTCTGGGCTTAGGCTAAGAGACAGGGAATAACAGTAGACTTGATGAAATAGTATGGATGTTAGCTGCTGCAGGGCATCCAGCCTAGGGTGCAGGCTTGCCCAGGACACATGATAATAGATCAATTTACCACTTAGGAGGAGAGGGAGGGACAACTGGGGGTGACAGTACTCTTCTTGAATAAGGTGGTGTCTGTTACACTTTTCAGGCCAATACCTGGTATTTTGGGCCCATTGTTTTTCACCTTCATTTCTTCTTCTGAGAGAAAGACTGCCTCCCTTCAGAGGGGGAAGCTCTAACCACTCAGTATTTTAAAAATACTGTGCCAAAATACATTAAATACATGTGTATACTTGCATTTGGATTTTTTTTTTTTTGACTTACAGGAAAAGAATTATAAGTTTTTACTTCATGGGACTTCCTAAATTTTAATCTACAGTTTAGAAAAGGGTTGTTGCATTGGTTTTGTTCATATTTCACGATACTAAGAAAGACAAGGGACAAGAACCAAATATGCTTCTGAAAGTAGTTAAATATTTCTTACTGCTACTTGTTTTTCAGACACAAACTTTGGTTTGGGTCAGTCTGTCATCATAAGCAGAGAGGCTTTCATCAGACTCAAAATAAACATAACTCTGTATCACCAAACACAGTATGGCCAGAGTTGGTGCCTGCCATTAGGGACCTCAACAACCTGAAAGGCACTGAAAAGTTTATTGTCACTCGTTACACTACAGTCAGGAGTTCGAGCTTTGTTAGCATTCTCATTTTTGTCTAATAACTTACTCTTCTGCCCCAATTTGGAGTAATTGCTTTGAAAAAGTAGCATAAGGGCAAATCAAGTTAAAGTCACATCCTAAAGTTCAGTAGAAGCTTAAAATGTTAAAAGTCTTTCTGAACTAGGATTCAGAATGGTCAACTCTCACAAGTAGTGGTTAGTCTTTAGAATCTAACTAGGAAATTTTTGTATTTTTGCTGCATAAACCTCTGAAAATACTACCTATAGCCACCTAGTTAAGTTCTGTACTTGAAGAATGAATTGGAGACTACAATTGAAATTTCATATTTACTTATGACATATGCTGTATGTAATTCCATTAAGCAAGCTGCTGGGAATCGGGTTGCTTTTTCTGGAAGAGTTACTCCTAGTACATCCCCATTCATTTTACTGCAGCATATGACATGAATTGTAGTACTGTGTAAGATGAAAAAGTAATGTCTAGTTTGTGAGATACTGTGCAAACAGACTAAAAGGAAGTAGCTAGTAGCTTATGTCTGGGGAAAAAAAAAAGAATGTGAAAATCTCTTGAGATCAGAAAATACAGGCAAATTTAGCATTGCACCTAGCTAGCAATTTTAAAGCCTGCAGTTACAGCTGCTGTTGTTCATAACACAAAAACATGAAAGTTAAAGTGTTAAGTGTTGTATATTAGCTTTGATTTTCATATTAAAAACTCTCAGATTTTTTCTTTTATCCTGTAGCTCTACTTTTTTTTTTTTTTAATAGACTAGGTCCAGAAGACCTAGTCAGCAACACTTGAGAAATTAAGCCACACAATGAAAGGCAAGAGAGGCTAGCAACTCCCACAGAATCTTTTATTTCCTCATGCACTCACAAACATGGTAACATTATTTTCATCTTTTTCAGAATGCACATTCAGTTATAATACCTGCTTAAGTTTGTCACAAGTCAATCAAATCCTGCCTCTTAAGTTTCAGAAAATACTTGTTACATAACAAAGTAACCTTAGAAGATATATTTAGAAAGGACTTAAAGCTTCAAAGAAAAGTCTATTTGCATTTCCAAGAGGAAAAAATCCAGTTAAAGATACACTCTAAAGGCAGGATTAGACAAGCAATGTTAAAATACTAATAGGAATGAAGTTTTTCCGTGTAACTCTAGGATTATGTAAAGGCAAGTCTTTGTTTTAGACAGAAAAAACTTCAGATTGGGAATGTCCTTTAGGTTCATTTGTTGGTTTTTACCAAATCTGATTCTTCAGTGAATTCTGTCTCTACTTTCAACACAGAATACTTCATGAATACCTCATACTAAATTAAAAGATTGTAGCTGAACTTTCCGTGTGAAATTTATGGCCTATTCATGCAGAATGTAAGATTAGCAAAGTTTGACCAGAGGGGATTATTGAATCATCTCAGCTGTTTGATAGGTACCCAAACAACTCTTTCACACAAAGAGAAAGACAAAAGTACATGAGAGTTTAAGCATGTCCAAGAAGTTTCAGATCGCTTTACCAGTAGTAATCTTTCTCCTTCACCTTGACTTGCCAAGATGTTGTAAGTCACCTTTCTGTGGGTGTAGCAGCTATTTGAGGTCAGCCGCAAGTGAGTCATAAAAAAATATCCATTAAAAATTTCCGAATACAGGCAGGTCAGCACACTTTTTATAACGCATTTAACTGGCTTTATAGTCAGATAAATATGCAGGATAAGATGGTTATTAGAACTTGTAAGTCATTGCAAATTTCTCTTTGTTTCATTATATTTCTAGCATCTGATACATACTGCATATGCTCTTGATAAATCACCTAAAGTTATTTCAAATAATTCTATCATTGGGGCAGGGAGGATTAATTTATTTTTTAAACTATTCAGCTAATCTGCTTACATCAGTAAGACTTAGAACTGGAAAAGGACTCTGAAAGGATGATTACATATGATTAGCTGCAGTTTAACAACTACAATATTATTCCTCTAACTTCTGGCAGAGAAGTTTTGCTGACTCCTAGAACTAATTTTCTTTTTATACTTGTATTAAAAATAAATGCCTAGAATAAGTGACAGAATTTTCATTTTAAATAGATGGATTTGTATTTTTCTAGACTAATATCAAAGACATCAGCATGCTGATACTGATGCAGGCTGGATAAGGTACTGCAACTCCAAATCATTGCCTGACAATTAAATTATATTCAGAATTCTTGATTACAATATAATCTCTAACTGCATAAATTCCAGGTAGTCTTGTGTTACTGGTAGTTGACAAAATAGAACAGGCTAAGTATTACAGGTAACTACAATATCTGCATGAAAAGTAATTAATGGAATATAATTGTAGGCTTTTTTTTTTTTTTAAACCTTTCTTTCTCACAGACAAATATCAATAGAGACTTCCAAGTAGTTGCACCATCCTAGAAGAGACACAACAACATGCCTGCTGTGGCATCTGTACCTAAAGAGCTGTATCTCTGTACTTCATTGAAAGATCTCAACAAGAAGACAGAAATAAAACCCGAAAAGACCAGTACAAAGAGGTATTTAGGCTTTTGTTTTGAATAGTTAATTCATAATCAATTGAAGTAATCTGCAGTAAATATAGTTTTGTACTTATGTAAGTTAAATCATTATGTATTAGGTCTTCATTAGTTTTCTCTTTGAGAAACTCTTACCTTTAGAAGTATTAATACTATTTTTCTGAGTCAGCTGCACTCGTAACTATGTTGTGGACCTAAATTCCCTCAATTATTTTGTTAGGTATTGCATCTTTGATGGACTTTACAGATAGATTTCTCAATTATCAAATGAGATATGCTTCCTATCTATAGCAGATAAGTTTGCCCACTGCCAAAACACACCTTGCACAATGCACATGAAAGCCTGAGTGCTTTGAAAAAGTCTATGTAAGCACAAGTTCAAAAAAAAAAAACAGTTAAAAGCTGAGCAAATTAAATTCTACATGGGAATAGAAAATACTTTATTCCTAGCATTTTTAGGCAATCAAACATTTCATTCTGCTTTACTGTGAAATAACAGGATGGGGTGTTTGTTTTGTTTTTCAAAAGAAGTGGTTGTTTTCAGAATAGAAAAGCTCATATATATATGTTTCCATATCTCAGTCTGCTATTTAACTATGGAAGATTCTGTTTCAGAATCAGTTCTGAATCTGTTTGATAAACAGTGTAGTGAAGGGAAACATTGTTTGAGGAGCCTAGTTGTGGCTCATTTAGTGAAAAGCTTATCCCGAGCTAGTAAAGTAAACATTTAATAGGTGAATAGAGACTGTGATCACTTAAAATGGCATTTTGTGCTGGGAAGGTGCCTGGGGTAAATCAACAATCACTTGCTTTGCTGCTCTTTATTTCAGTTATGTGCAGAGTGCCCTTAAGATTTTCAAGGCAGCAGAAGAAAGCAGATTGGACAGAGATGAAGAAAAAGCTTACGTCCTGTATATGAAATATGTAACTGTTTATAATTTTATTAAGAAGAGACCTGATTTTAAACAGCAACAGGTATATAAGCTTTCTGACTGGCTGCTTCTGTGTTGGCAGAAACAAAACAGAATAACACAGAAAAAATATGGACACTTAAAACTAATGCACATTCAAATAATTATGCTGATAGTAAATAAGTAGTCTCATTTGTGCTGACACTTCTTTCCTATTTTCTGTCAGTAACTGTTTTCACACTTTGCTTTGGTCAGTTACATTTAAGGTATATAAATTGCCAGATGTGTGAATATTTTTAATGGAGAGGAAATCTTTTAATCTTTCTCAGCCAGACCTTTCTTGGTATAGTACAAAGCAGTTTGGGCTTGTGTGAAAGGGTGTTGTATTCATTTCAGGCCAAGGTCACTGACAAATAAGTGAACGTAAACTGAGTTGCCATGAATACATACACAGACACACATTCCAATAAAGCTGTTGCATTTGCTAATGAATATTTTAACAGGAAATACCAGATTTAAAACATTTACTTTTGTTGGCATTATCATCATCATCCTATCACTTCTCTGTGCATTCGATGCTCTTGATATACACAGGAGTAGATATTATTAAACAGTGCTGTTAATATGGGTGGTGATGCTTGTAATTTTAGGATTATTTTCATTCAATTCTTGGACCTACAAACTTGAAAAAAGCTATTGAAGAAGCCGAAAGACTCTCAGACAGCCTTAAACTCAGGTACGTGAATATAATGCATAGATACTGTTCTTTATACCTGAACCTGAATTTGCAATTGCAGGTTTTCCCACTACACACTATATTTGCAGTAGTTTGTGGATACCTGGAACTCTTGAGAGCTTTAACAATTTATCTAAGAAAGTGCGTTAGAGATAGTTTTTGCTTTTGCACATTTCAGTAACTTGCTACTATCTATATGCTCTCAACTATCATTTGTTGATACCTTCTCCTGTAGAGATACCTCCTTTTTTTGTTTAATATCTCTAATGAAACAAAACCTCAAAATTTGAACTATATTTGATTTAGAGAGAAGCATTTCCTTATAATAGTTTTCATCTTGGGGTTATACAAAAGCCAAATAAAGTAGCAACATGCTCCTAAAGTTCACCTGTCAAAAAGCTCTCCTAATGTAGATTAGTTTAGACTAACATAACCCCTTTTGCGCATTTTCTATGCCTCCATGTGGAGACATCTATATGAAATAACACAATTTGACCATTATTTAACTGAAGTGATGAAAGGGTTTTGGTAACGCAACTATAACTATGCTGTGCTAAGACTTAAATGTCTTTGGTCCCTAAGCCACAAAATTGTGACAGTAAGCAGATAGATGGTGGACTTCCTATTTAGGTTCTGCTTAATACAATATGTTGTCTTTTCAGGCTTGTTTGCTTATTTCCCCCCAGCCTTTCTCTGTCAGCTCTCTCCACTCAGCTAAGCATATGCTTTTTCCTCTTTTGTCTCTATATTTAAGTAAAAGCACCTTGTAGAAACCCTTCAAAGTGCTAAACTACCATAGCTAAGCATGATTTCAGTTTGCATAAGGGAAGTAAACCTGAAGAGTAATGACTACAAAATGGAACCCAAAGCAGGATTTAAGAACAAGGAAACAATTACAAAAGTGGGAGAAGTGAGACCAAGCAGTCAGGAAGAAAACAAGTTCAATGGAAAACAGTAATTTCACAGTACTTGATTTTTTTTTCCCCCACTTCCTACTTAGAGACTTAATGATTTTGATGTTAATTATACAAGGCTAGACAATAATGAGATATTTTAAAAGCACTTTTTTCCTAATAGATACGAGGAAGCTGAAGTTCGGAAAAAACTTGAAGAGAGGGACAGACAAGAGCTGCAGAAAAAGCAAGAAGCAAAAGATGATGGAAAGACTTCAGCCAAGAACTCTTCAGAAAGCTCAGCAGATTCCAAAGGAAAAAGCCAAAGGGTAATCAAAAACAGCTACAAATTCTCTAATTAACTTTAAATACATAGTCTAGCATTTTGTTCCAGCAGCATTTCTAATTCAGGATCAGGGTGTTGGATTTTGTTATTATTGCTATTTGGTTCTTTAATAGCTTTTTTTATTATTAATCATTTTAAATTCCCCGTAACTTTTCTCTGAGATTTCTTTGGAACAGGCCTTCCAAGTTCTGAGATGTGCAGAAAGTAGACTAGCTTTTTACTAAGTCAAATTCTGTTTATAGTAAAAATAGACTTAATGGCATTGCCAGAGCTACGTCGCATGCGAAGCCCAAGGTTTCTGTGTGATAAGAGCTGATGATGTAGATTACATACCTTCTCTTTAGGAGCAATAGTATAGTGAGGAACTCATCTCTCCACAGATGCTTTAGGAATTTCATCTAGCAGATTATGTAGTCCTACAATTTTTTTTTGGCCTTTTTGATTGGTTTCTGTCTATATAGGGCAGCCACATTTATCTTTCTAATATTTTTGTCAATGTAACTTTAAGAGGCTTCTTCTACTTGGGTTTCTTCTGTGACTTTCAGTGTGACCAGTTTCCTTCAAGCTCTGTGAGAGTCAGGCACAGTCAAGCTCTGTGTGCTGCTTATCATCTTTCTGAATATGAGATTACCTCCCTTACACCTTTTTTGTCTTCTTCTGTCAACACAGATCAATGGTGAGAAGACACATTCCCTGGAAAAAAAGGATCAGTCTGACAGTCTGAATGGTAAGAGATATATGCTCCCACCACTGTGAAAAGAGGCTGAGTATACCTGTGCATCTCTCACTTCTCCAGCTGCAGTTCTTTATAGAAAGAGTAACTTCACAGTCAAAGCAATTTGCTGAAATTGCTGGTATCCTGCATTTTGGTAATAGCAACTTAGTAATTAAAGCCCTGTTAGAGCCTTCATCACTTCTCTTGAACTTAAACTTGCTTCAGCTGAAAAGAAGCTGAAAATACAGTGTAAAAATTAAAGCTGAACTGGCCCAAGAATGATCAGAGTAGAAACAAAATGTTGCTTCAAATGATAGGAATAAAATTAGGCAAGGTTGAGATGTGTCATCTTTCCTAGTTAAATGAAGAGTCCCCTTCACACTTCTCCCCGCTTTTGTTTTTTGCTTATGTAGTAAATAGGAACACCTGCAACATGCAGTTTGACACGCATTTGCAACTGCACAACTTGATTTAAATGAAACCACAGAAAGCTTAACTAATCCTGGGGGTGTTCCATGTTGTCTAATTCAGCACATCCACTGCTGATCACTGAAGCAGTAGAAACTACAGGAGCAAATATGTTTCACCAATCATCACCATGATGGTTTGAAAGAATATACATGAATGGGTTCTGTAGACACGTTCCGTTTCATCCTTTTTCATTCACTTGCAGTCTTGACTCTCAAGTGAGATGTGTTTATAGCTATCTCCATTTAAAATGTAGCTTTTTGCTTATAATACCTTTTGTATCTCAAGGAGCAGTCACTGCTGAGAAACTGTTTGCAATGATGACAGACAAAAACATTGAATTGATTATAATGGACACTCGAAGCTCAAAAGATTATCAAGAATCCTGTATTCCAAGATCTATCAGTGTCCCAGAAGAAGCAATCAGTCCTGGGTATGAAATAATGTTAAGTAATAGTCAAATACTTAACATGTCTTATTACTGCCTTATTATCTTCCCCATGTATAAACTGACTGGGAGGGAGGGGCAGGGAAGAAATCACTGTGCTATTAAAGCTTGTTCACTTAGTTTAGGGGCCCCTGTATATGGTGAGATATCTTGACAGCTTTGCTTTTGCATGTACTGACTATAAGCCAGAACAGATGCATTTTATCCATAGATAAAAGCATATAAATGTAGGGGGATTAAACAAGTAACATTCTGTATATGTATATGTTTATCTTTAAGTGCATGTTAATACATTTCAGAGTTACCACAAGTTGGATTGAAGCTAGACTCCCAGAGGATTCTAGAGATCCATGGAAGAAGAGAGGACATTTTGATTATGTTATACTGCTGGACTGGTTTAGTTCTGCAGGAGACTTAAAACTTGGAACAACTCTGCAAAGTCTGAAAGATGCACTTTTTAAGGTTGGTGATTTTACTTTCTGTATTCTTTTATCCCCCAAAATAAGAGGCTCTGAAAATATATCTAAATACAAAGAATATGGGAGACTTGAAAACTGAACCAAGATATGTGCTAAAGCATCTCAGGATTGCTTATTTTGATAGCAGAAGCTGAATGCAGGTGTTGTCCCTACTTTATGTAGGTCACTCTTGTAAAAGTGCACAACTTTATTCAGATTCAGGCAGTTCTCCCTGTTTTTTGCTTTACAGAATAGGCTGGGAACCTTGTGCATAATTCATGCCCTAATACTGAAGATCTCAGGATGAAACCAATCTTGAGCCTGGGCTCTCCAGGCTCTTTCAGAAAGCTTTATAAAGCCTCTAATCATATAGGGCAGGGCTATCACTGGAACTGAAGCAAATGTAAACATTGGTTGTGTGCGGATGATCGTTACCAGAACTAGTAACAAGTAGTTCTGGTTTGGGGGGGATAGGGGAGAAGCAAATCAGATTGTTTTTTTTGGTCAATATATCTTTAAAAAAAAAAAAAAAAAAAACAGGAGCCTACAGCATTAACTTTCTCCAAAAGGATTCCCTGCCCCCAAAGGAATTTTGCAGCCTTTTTTTTCTTTTTTTAGTTAGAAAAATTCAAAAATAGAATCATAGAATCATTCAGGTTGGAAGGGACCTCTAGAGATCATCTAGTCCAACCCCCTGCATACGCAGGGTCACCTAGAGCACGTGGCACAGGACTGCGTCCAAGCGGATTTTGAAGATTTCCAGAGAAGGAGACTCCACAACCTCTCTGGGCAGCCTGTTCCAGTGCTCTGTCACCCTCACTGTTAAGACATTTTTTCCCTAAGTTCCTGTGGAACTTTTGGTGCTTCAGTTTCTGGCTGTTTCCTCTAGTTCTGTCAGTGGCCATGACTGAAAAGAGGCCAGCACCATCCTCCTCA